AGGGGCTGGCAGCAGAGTCTGGACACATCCTTATCCATCACTGCCCCTCATTAATTCACTGCCCTGTCCACCCGCAGGGACAGCCCTGGCTAGGGACTCTTATGTCTGGGGCTGTTGTGTCTGTGACATCTAGGGCAGAGAGGGAAGGCACTTTCATTACCAGTGTCCCAGGTAGGGTAGGGGTCAGGGCCACGCAGGCCTGTCAGGCAGGAGTGGCCAACCTCCCAGACTGGCCTGGGCTGCCCAGCCACTTACTGTGAAGCCCACATCCAGGGGTGCAGTAAGGCCAGGTGGAGAATCCAAGGTAGAGCCCGCAAAGGCTTCCCCACGCCCTAGCCTTTGGCTACACATTATGTGGCCCTTAGACAGCTCCCTTCTCCCTCTGAGCCTCCACCCACCTGCTGGCTCCCACAGCGCAGCTATGACAGGTGCTGAGTAGGCATGAAATGTCCCCCACTTCCTGGCCACCAGCATGGATGGGTACCAGTTTCCCTGAGACTGACCAACCACTTCCTGCAACCCCACCTCAACCCTTGTGCTCATCTCCTGACTCCCATGCATACATGTTCACTGGGGCCACCTCCCTGAGTTTCCCACACCACCAGGGTCCCTGACCCAAGTCTTTCCAGGGCACAGGAACCAACTGGGTTGTGGGCTGCCTCTGTGGGGGCCTGAGGTGGGGGTTGGGGGTGTGTGTGTGTGAGGGGGCTGGACTAGACGCGGGTGGGCCGGCCCAGGCCATTTCCTCTCTTTGTTGTCCCTGTGTTTTCTTTTCCTTTCAGACTTAACTTGAAGCAGTTTCTGGAATCACTGGCAGAGGCTGAGTGTGCCCACTGCCAAGATGATCCTGACACTGCTGCTCAGCCTCGGGGGAACCCTGGGCTGGGGGCTGCTGTGGGCCCAGGCCCAGGCCCCCAGTAACAGGTTCTCTGATCCACACAGCCCCGGGCTGCCTGGGGTCTGGAGGGCAGAGGTTGAGGACATCGGCAGGGACCCATTCAGTCGGTAAGAAGGGGCCTGGGCCTTGGGGTGGGGTCATGGTGATGGATCTGAGTCCCAGGTCAGCCAGATCAGGGGCTTTCTGGACATCAGTTACCCATCTGTGAATGGGCTAATATTATCTATTCGCTGGGCAGCTGTGAAGCTGAATGAGGTGCTAGGTGCCAGGCTTCCCTTCAAGAGATTACCTCCAGCCAGCCAGGGCTGGGCACCCTAGGGCTCAGCCATAGGACCACAGGAAATTCCCTGTTTGACTTGTAGCAGAGAATGGGCCTGGGGGTTGGGTAGGGCAGGAACACTTCTTGTCATCAACCATTCAGCATGGGGTGTCGAGGGGTCTGTGGTTCCGGAAATTTCCAGCTGGCCTGACAGAAGTTCATATTTTTTGAACTAAGTCAGTCTTGAAAGCCGAGCCAAGGTGAGGCTGGCCCATAAGCCGTAGAGGACAGATACTTCTGGGGACTGGATTTTGATCCGCATGCCCAGGACGACTGGTGTAGGTCCTTAGCCTGAGTCTGAGAGTGAGCAGTGATCAGAGAGGGTGCCCTGTTCCCCCTCCCAAATAAAAAGATGTGACATCCAGCAAGCTCTGCTTCAGCTCCCCTCTGGGAGTGGGCGGAATGGCCTTGCCACTGGACCAGGACACTATTTTTAGGCCTTTTGTTTGTCCAGGGCCAGGATCCTCCTGCTGATAAGTTGCTGGGCCTGCAGGTCCCTCCTCACAGTACCCCACAGTCAGAGCAGCAGGTGCCATTTACTGGGCCAGGCACCTTGCCAAGTGTTATCTCAGTTAATCCTCCCAATAGCCTCAGTTACAGAGGAACCTGAGGCTCAGAGAGGCTAAGCAGCTGGCCCAAGGCCACACAGTTAAGAAGAGCTTGAGCCAGGTCCAGATTCTGACTCCAGAGCTCATGCCATGATCCCTGGAGTACTCAAAAGCAGCCCTGGCCCCCAAATGTGCCTATTCCCTTACCCACTGCCAACACACACACACACACACACACACACACACACACACACACACACACACTTCATTGAGGACATACATATAGATTTGGAGAATGGCCAACTCACATCTACCCAGTCTCCCTGTCTGAGATTGATCATCACGTAAACTTACAGAATGCATCTGCCTGGGACAGTTCTACACAGCTCTGACATTTCAAGGTGAATATATTTGTTGGACACTTTCCTTGAAGTAGATTTGAATATGGAGAGGCAGTAAGTGAGTGCACGCTGACCCCCCAGAGAAGGAGGGGATGGCTGTGTGGGGAGGAGTGGCCCCAAGGTAGACCTAGAGATATCCCATTCCTGCCTGCCCCCAATTCTACTCAGGGCTGGGAGGCACAGGTGATTTTTGGTGGGGAACCTACCCACCCCGCTCTGAACTAAGCACCAACCCTCCTCTCCCCAAATCATTAGCTCCATGCTCCTGTCTCTAGGCCTCCTGACCCCGTTGATGAAAAGGAGGATGGGGGACCCGGGTGAATGGGAAGGAAATAGGAGACACTTCTTTTTCTCCTCACTTATGGGCTGCCCTGCAGGGGTCACTCAGCCATTATCTGAGTGGCCCCCGGTGTGTGCAGAGTGTGTGTGGGTGTGTGCACAAGGATACCTTGGCCCAGCAATATCCAGAGAGGTGTCCCAAGCCCTAGTCCCAGGGGTATCCAGGGGGTCCCAGCAGGCCCGCTGGGTCTCCTTCCCACAATCAGGAAGCTTTGGTCCCCTCTGGCCAAGCCCAGGTTGTCAAGGCCTCCAGAGGGGCTGGTGAGAAAGGAAGGAAATGCTGCTCCGGCTTCCTTGGGCTGATGGCTTCCCGTGCTCCTGTGAAGAGACAGGCGGAAACACTGCTCCAGCCTTCCTCCTGCAACAGGGGAAGGGGAGGTGGAACAGGCACTCCTACTCAAGCAGAGGTGCCAACACTATCAGCCACAAGCCTGGTGGACTCACCACCCCTGGCTACCAAAACCAGACTTCCTGCTCTGCATTTGCCTCTCATACCTATTTCTGTGGCCAGGGGCCAGGGCAGGCCCTGGACACAGACTCAGATAAGACCCTCTGTAAGGAGAAGTTTAAACGGAATAACTTGGTGCCTGATGCCAGATTCTGAGGTGGAGGAGGGATGTAGTTGAGAGCTTCCTAGGTCCCCGGGGACTCTGCCCAGCAGGGCCCAGTGAGCAAGCTAGCTACTTGGGTATTGGACTCTGGAAGAGGAGGCTCTTTTGTGCTCCCTGGCTTTGGTGAGTGTGGTGAGAGCAGCAAGATGTGGGCTCCTCGGGCGCAGGAAACACAGGACTGAGCCTGTGGAGGGGACTGAACTGAGCCCCAGGCAAGATGCCTCATGTGCATATTGTTGTGACAGTGCTGAGGTCACCACTATTCTCTCCACTTTGCACGTTGTGAGGCTTGTGTGAGGGGCACTACCCAGAGCCACACAGTTACTAAGTGACAGGTCAGAGCCTGGGCCCACCTTTGCTGGGCTGCCAATCCTAGGTGTCCTCCGTCCTGTCTCCCCCAAGATGAGTGGGAGTGTAGGAGATGCTGCTCTCAGCATCCCAGCTGGCCCCGGCCCCCAGCATCATCTTCCCCTTACCCACATTCAAGGCACATTTGTGATTTTCGCAGCTGAGGCTCAGAGGAGTCACATGTATCGCACGTATTGCTGGGAGTCACACAGGAGCCTGGTGGAGCCGAGGCACGCAGCTGTACCTCTTGCACTGGTTCTTGCTCTCTGAGGCACAGGACCCTAGGCACAATGAGGGAAGACCCCCACTTGTTGTGATTCTCACAACAAGAAGGGTGGAGGTGCTACTGGCATCTGGTGGGATGCTGCTCAACACCCTACAATACACACAGCACAGTCCTGCACCCCCACAACAAAGAATCAGTCAATCCCAAATGGAAGACCCCCAGAGTCACACTCAGAGAACCCTGGCTCTGGGCTGGATGTCGAGTAGGCCGCAGGCTCCTCTGCCAAGGCCCCTTTCTGGCTCAAAGCTCTGCAAAATTCACCCCTGGAGTGATCGCATTCTAGGTCGCATTCAGGGCCTCAGAGAACAAGGATGCTGAGAACGTGCCCTCCTCCCCAAGAAGACTTCAAGGGCAGCTAGAGGTGGGTTTTACTGGCCGATTATGAGGCACTTATGTGTCCCAGGGGGCAGTGGCAGCAGCACATTCATAATTCAGAAGGCTCTAGCTAACAGCCTTTTCCCTGCTAGAAACTCTCTGCCTTCCCCATAGCCCCTCCCTCTGCCCCCAGGGAGAGGCCAGTAGTGGGAATCTTCTCCCTTTCCAGGACTGTGGGAAGTGTGTGTATGTGGTGGGGTGCAATGCTGAAGGTCACCCTGAGTCCAGGGACAGAGAGGGGAGGAGAGCCCAGGTCTCCCAGCTTCCATTAGAAGCTACAAGGGATTTAGCCACCTCTCTCCTGCCTGGGGCTGGGCATCAGGTTCGGGCCATGTTGGAGGTCCAGGGCAGGCCCAAAAGTGGTTGGAGGAACCCCACACTCATTTCTAGGCTGGCGCCTGTCTCTCAATAAAACACTGTGAGATGAGGGTACAAGGAGGGTGCGGGCCTGAGACCAGGAGGCAGTGAGAACAATGGGGCACCTCAGCAAGCTGGGCTTGGGGGTGCCGGCTCAGAGGGCCAGCAAGAAGCTGCCAAGAGCTGGAGGAAACCAAAGCAAAGGTCAGGAATGTTCCCAGGGCTTCTGGGCCAGCAGCCTGTACTGTGCCAAGGGGACAGGGCTGCCAAGGGAGGGGGAGCGTGGGCAGAGAGAACAGAGGCTGCTGGAGCCTGATATTTGGGCAGGTCAGAAGAGAAAGTTCCTGGGCAGGAAGGGTGGACAGCACTGTTCCCAGTTCCAGGAGCTCGAGGTGGAAAGTCCCAGTCAGTCCCTGGCAGGCTGGACCAGCATCAGCATGCCCAGGACCCAAGCCTCTGGACCCTTTGGAGCAGTTCCGAGGGTATGCAAGGAGTAAACTTTATTTCAAGCAGCTGTTTCTCAACCTCAGACCTATTGACATTTGGGATTGACTGATTCTTTGTTGTGGGGGTGCAGGACTGTGCTGTGTGTATTGTAGGGTGTTGAGCAGCATCCCACCAGATGCCAGTAGCAACCCCACCCTTCTTGTTGTGAGAACCATAAATGTCTTCAGAAGTTGCCAAATACACCTGGGGGAAAGTCTCCTCTCCCCAGTTGAGAATTACTGGTTCAGAGAAACACTTACTCCAGGGCTGGGCCCATATTCCAGGAATTTCCACAGGGCCCAGTGTGGGGATGGGTGGGGCTGAAGTTTCTGGTCCTTGAAACAGTCTGTGCAGGCTGAGACCTGGGCCCAGCACTCCCACAGTCCACTGTTTCAGTGTTGAATAAAAATTCTCTGCTTAAAATCAGGGCCAGCTTCGTGGGCATGCAACCTAAGCAGTCTACATAGCACTTAGCACTCAGAAGAGCCCCACACTTAGTTGAATCTCTATTATTGACTCTCATTTCATTTTGCACTGGATCCTACAGATGATATAGTTGGTCTTGTGTAAAATATATACTATCTGTCCCTTTCTAGAAAAATTTTGCTGAACTTCTGGGTAGAGTCCAACCTATAAGGTTTGTTGAGACAATCAAAAGCCCCGGCTCCTTCTAGTCCCCCAAAGCAATGACTTCCATCACTTCAGGTGATTGTTTTGGCATTTACCTCTGGATCCCTAATGATATGCTCATATGGCTACTTCTTGGTAAGCAGCATTATCTATGATTCAGCTCTTATTCCACTGCCATACCTCCACCCCAACACGCATTCACATATGTGCATGAGCACACATCCATGTGCACACACGGGCACACGCGCTTCCCATCTATCATTCTCCCATGGTCATTTTGAGTATTTACATTCATATGACTACATATACTACTTGGAGTTGAGACTTGAAAAAACTATGAATCCTCCCACCCCGTGCACTTTTGGTTTTCCCTGGAGGAAACAATTATCTTTTTTTCTTTTGCTTAGTTTTCTGTGCCTTTGTCATATTCTAAATCTCAGTCAGTTGCACACATCTGAGCTCACCTTTCATCTGTGTCAGGTGTTTGACCACCTTTATCCTTAGAAACACCTCCTCTCTCAGAGCTGCAGCTGTGCTCTAGTCTGGACTGGGCCCCTTGCCCACTGCCCATCATTGTCCTGGGCTCTCCATGCACCATCTCCCTGGGCACTCCCTGCTGGAACTCCTGTTTCCTGATGCCATGCTTTCCTCCTTCTTGGTGCTATCTCTTGTTTTGATGGAGCACCTCTGGCACAATGATGCTCAGTCTCTGGCAGTGTTTTAGAATGACCCAGAGGTCTTTAAAATGCTGATGCCCAGGCCTCAAACCCAGAAACAAAATCTCATTTAACTTGCCTGGGCTCTTTTTTTGGCGGGGGAGGGGGGTATTCTTATTTTTAAAGTACCACGTGGTGGTTTTGATGTGAAGATTTAGTGGTAAGATTGAGAACCACTATTCTAGTAGCTCCCTGATGAGAGATTCTGGGGAGGAAAATGTTTTGAAACCTGGCATGCTGAAAGTGTCTTTATTCTGCTCTCCTTACCTTGACTGATGGTTAGGCTGGGTATTGGATTCTAAATTGGAAATCATTTTCCTTCAGTAATTTGAAGGTAATTCCCTGTTGTATTCTAGTTTTTAGTATTGCTGTTGAGAAGATCAAGGCTATTCTAATTGCTGATGTGTATGTGTATGTGTGTGTGTGTCTTGGTTTTTCTCTCTGGAAAGTGTAGACTCACTTTGATTCCCAGAATTCTAAAATGTCATAATGATGTTTTATTTTCATAGTAATGTGGGTAATTAGTGGGCCTTTTGACTCTGAAAATCCAAGTCCTTAACCTCTGAAACATTTGGTTCTTTTTCATTGATGATTCTGTCCTTCTGGTCTCTTTCTTTTCTCTCTCTCTGGAACTCCTGTTGTTTGTATGTTGGATTTCTAGCACGGGTCCTTTATTTTTCTGATCTTTTCTCTCCTATTTTTCATCTCTCAGTTTGCTCTTCTTTCAGGGAAATTTCTTTAACATTACCCTCTAACGTTTTTATTATATTTCTTTTGCATTTCTACTGTTATGTTTTTAATTCCCAAGGGTTCTTTTTGTTCTCTTTTTATATAACTTCCTGTTCTTATTTCTTGGATGCACTAGGTTCTCTTGTCATCTAGGACCCTTTGTCTCCAAGGACTTTTTTTTTTTTTTTTTTACAGTAGAAAAGTTTTATTAGAAGGGAAAGTACACTTCCAGATGTGGAAACAGGCCTGAGCAAGAGAAGCGTGGCTCAAAAAGTCTCGTCTGGTACTATTAATGCAAACTTGCGAGAAGTTCTCTTCTTCCTGCATAGTCTTGGATTTTAGCAAGTTGAGTTTTTTCCATTTGCTTGTTTTGACTTCCTTCTTTTATAATAGAGATTTTCCTCAAGGATCATCCTTGAATGTCTTCTTAAGAGTAGAGAGACTGAGAAGCTGATCGGAAGCTGGGTATCCGGATGGTGCTTTCTGATCTGTTTTGTTATAGGTTGCTTTGCTGGGCTATTTCATTGGTGGGACCCATGATGTCAGTGTCTTTAGGTCTTTCTCTTGAGCAGGGTCATTTCCCTGACAAGCTTTTGCAGTTTGCTGTCAAGAGTATAAAGCCTGGCTGCCAAGCTTCTTGAAGCTGAGTGGAAAAGCAGGCTGGGGCATGTGTGTGTATGTGTGTGTGTGAGTGTGTGTGTGTGTGTGTGTGTGTGTGTGTATTTGTGTGTGTGCTGGTTGGGGGGGTGGGGAGTCTCTGCACTCAAAATAGATATAATCACTCAGTCCACCTCAATTCTTCTCATCCCTCCCTGGCAGCATCCCTATGTGAGTGTGCCTGATAGCCCCAGATCAGAGATCAGCTCCAGAGAATAAAAGCTCAGGCCCAATAGCCACTCCCTGAACATTGCTTCCTAACTTCTCACAAATGTGGCCATGTCTCTCCATAACCTCCACCATCATTCAGTGCAAGCTGTCTGTGTCTCTGACCTAGATTCCTAACAAAACCACCTATGTCTTGTCCCATTCTGTCCTTGTTGAACCAATTAATGAGTGAGGGTGGCTCGTTCATGTCACTTCCCTGCTTAAACTTCCCATGCCTTCAAGACACAGTTTAGTGCCTTAGCTGGCACTCAAGGCCTCCGTAGTCTACCTTCTTACCTCTGCATTCTCTCCTCCGCAGCCCCCACCCTCTGCACCTCTGAAGGGTCACACACTTCTGTTATAGCTCTTGCTGCTTCAGGCAGCCCAATTATCACCTCCTCCTGAAAGTCTCCTCAGGTCCTAACACCTGTCACACCATCTAAGATTGCCTGCTCTCCCTTGGGACACTGAAGGGAAGGTCTGCACTTCTATATCAGCACTGAATGCTGTTGAGCTTGGGCTCAGCACCTGGTACCCATGAGGTGTTGAGCTAAACTGAGCTATGGGATCATTGCCACTAGCAGCTCTGGAGAGCTCTGCTCTGGGAGCTGACTGCTGGGGAAGGGCCTTCTTCTAAGCCTGTCAAGTCTGCCACTGGATCAGTGAGCTTGGGCTCTATCAGCAGTGAGCATCTCCACACTCCTGGACCTACAAAGCATGCAGAAGGAGAAGCTCCCTCCTGGTATTCCGAATGCTGAGCGTGATCCCCAAATCACCCTGTAGGACCTCAGCGTTGGTGACCTTTCTCAGAGAAGGGAGTGTATGACCTAGCTACTTACCCCTACAACTATTTGAAAGTCCATTTCCATAATGGCCATAATGGGGCATGACCAGGGAGCGGTGCTCTTCCTGCAGCTAGGTCTCCGGTGAAAAAAGAAGTGAGTGGTAATTGGGGAGGCTGCTGGGGCAGTGATTCAGGGTTCCCTGAGCACTTTTAAGGAGCCAGGCACTGAATACTCATCCACCCACTTAGAGGAGGGTATTGCAATCTCCTTTGGATAGATGGAGAATGGAAACTCCCTAAGTGCCTCACTCAAGGTCACACAACCAGAAAATATGAAAGATTTAAACCCAGGTCTCTCTAGGCCCAGTGGCACCGTGCTGCCTCCCTGGCACCAGGAGAAACAGCGAGAGCCCTTCCTGCCTCTGTGGTTAGTTTTGCTATGACTTTTGGGGGTCTCCTCGGCCTCCCTGTGCTGTCCCTGAGGAGGCTTTCTGGAAATTGACGGAACAGGTGCCTTTGCAGGCAGGTTTTATGGTGCTCCTGCTCTGGAGCTGAGAAATGAATAATGCAGAACACTACCTTCTCAGGTTAATGGATTCCAGAATCCCTGGCATTGGGTGGGGCAGGGAAGTGGGGGTGGGGTACTCTGCACTGGCACCCCCTGTTAACCTCTAGGAAGGGTTGTGGGATGGGAGCCTTGGCATGGCTCAGCAGCCCTCTCTTCTGGCTCGATTTTTCCAGTAACTGGTGCCCCTACCAGAAGTCCAGGCTGGTCACCTTCGTAGCCGCTTGCAAAACAGAGAAATTCCTCGTCCACTCGCAGCAGCCATGTCCTCAGGGGGCTCCGGACTGCCAGAAAATCAAAGTCATGTGAGTGGGGGCAGGGCAGGGTAGGCCATTGGTCCGGTTCCCACCTTGGTTCACCCCGGAGTCACTGAGCTAGCCCTCTTCCCCCAGGTACCGTATGGCCCACAAGCCAGTGTACCAGGTCAAGCAGAAGGTGCTGGCCTCCGTGGCCTGGAGGTGCTGCCCGGGCTTTGCTGGCTCCAACTGCCAGTACCATGGTAGGTCGCACTGTGGTCCCCTCCCCCCTCAACCTGTGACCCCAGAGGTTGTGCAGCTCCTTTGATTTCTTGGGGTAAACATCTGATGCCTCTTCTCTGCAGATCCCACTGGGATCCCTGAGCCTGCAGATCTAGCTGATGGCCTCCAGGAGACTTGGGATGAGCCAGTTAGCTTTGAATCTGGTATGTTGCTTTCCTGGATGATGCAGGAGGGGAGACAGGCAGAAAGAACCCATGTACCTAAACCCTATCCTCTGATTGGGTGGTGCCAATTTTGGAAAACTTTGCCCCCGGAATCAGCAGAGGCCCCTCTGAGGGCATCGCCCTGCCCCATAACCAAGCAGGCTAGGTTCACAGGGCCCTCTGTGACCTGTCTGCTGGTAAAGCACACACACCCTTTTCCTTGACCTCATTTTCTAGGAAGGACAATTCATCTGGCACCTTCCTTGCCCCCTGAGCTACACAAGCTCCCATGACCTGGAAGAAGCCTTCCAACACCCCTGCCCCACAACCAGGGTCAGGAAGTCATGCTGTCTCTGTTCTTGAGTCAGCATAGGAGAACTACCACAGATCCCATTTCAAGGCAGGGCCAATGATGAGATGGTGAATGACTTTTATTATGTGATAAACTCCTATCTATTGACAAGGGCTGTCTAAAATGATGTTGAGAGGCCACATCTATGTTGCTGAGGAGGAAAATGTGCCATGATTGATGAATCATATCTGCTATGGGTGTGGGTGGCAGGGTAAGAACTTACCATGTATTTGCCCTTCTGGGACTAAAGGCTTCTAAGCTCCAGCTCAGAGGCCATCAGCATACACTTCTTTGCTCTGAACTCTGAAATCTTCTCTGAACCTTATGATTTGCCCAGGCCTGGGGAGTTAGCCCTCAACACTATTTCTTATGTATCTTCAGGCCACCCAGTTACAGAGACCAGTAACATTCTGGTACAGCAGGAACACCCACTGAGAGATCTCCAGAATGACATTCACCACATGGCAGACAGCCTTCCAGGCCTGTGGAAGGCCCTGGAAAGCAACCTCACAGCTGCAATGACTGAGGCAAATCAGACAGAGCTTGGTGAGTGTCAGGCTCCATGGGCTGAGGTAGAACCTGATCACGCCCAGGAGGATGAGTGGGAGGGGAGTCAGGAAGGCCCAAACCTCAGAGGACCCCCCTCTCTAGTCCCAACCTGGGGAGGGTATCTGCTCTGTCAGGGCTTGTGTCAAAATGTACATCTGTTGCAGAGTCTCCTGTCAGATCCTTGGAGCAAGTGCTGCATTTCAGCCCCATTTGGAAGAGCTTTAACCAAAGTCTGCACAGCCTCTCCCAGGCCATAAGAAACCTATCTGTTGATGTGGAGACCAATCGACAGGCCATCAAGATGGTTCAGGGGAGTGCTGTGCCCAGGGCTGACTTCCAGGAACTTGGTGCCAAATTTGACACCAAGATCCAGGAGAATGTCCAGAGAGTGGGTCAGCTGCAGCAAGACGTGGAGGACCGCCTGCACGCCCAGCAACTTTCCCTGAGCCACTCCCTCTCTGAGGTTCAGGCCGATGTGGACACCAAGCTGAAGAGGCTCCTTAAGGCTCAGGAGCACCTGGGGTCCAATGGCAGCCTGGTGGTGGCAGCAGTAGGGGCTGCAGCAAGGCCGGAGCCAGAGAGCCTGCAGGCCAGGCTGGGCCAGCTGCAGAGGAACCTCTCCGCACTGCATCTGGTCACCAGCCGCAAGGAAGAGGAGTTACAGAACACCCTGGCAGACATGAGAGCAACCCTAGCGAGGCACGTGGATGAGATCAGGGAGCTGTATTCTGAATCCGATGAGACCTTTGATCAGATCAGCAAAGTGGAGCGGCAAGTGGAGGAGCTGCAAGTGAATCACACGGCACTGCGCGAGCTGCGTGTGATCTTGATGGAGAAATCACTGATCATGGAGGAGAACAAGGAGGAGGTTGAGAGGCAGCTCCTGGAGCTTAACCTCACCCTCCAGCACCTGCAGGGCAGCCACGCAGACCTCATCAAGTACGTCAAGGACTGCAACTGCCAGAAGCTCTATTTCGACCTGGACGTCATCCGGGAGGGCCAGAGGGACACCACACGCGCCCTGGAAGAGGCTCAAGTAAACCTGGATGAGCGGCACCAGCGGGATGGCTCCTCCCTGCAGGCCTTGAGCAGCACAGTGGCCACCTTGTCGCTGGCGGTGGAAGCACACCAGGCGGACGACGAGCGGGCGCGGGCCGACCGGGCGCGGCTCCGGAGCCAGGTTCAGGCGCTGGGCGGCGAAGCCAGTGCGCTGAGGACCGCCGAGGGTGAGCTCCGCGGTGAGATCCGCCAGCTGCACAGCTCCTTCGCGGCGCTGCTGGAGGATGCGCTGCGGCACGAGGCCGTGCTGGCTGCCCTCTTCGGGGAGGAGGTGATGGAGGAGATGTCCGAGGAGGCACCAGGACCGCTACCCCTGCGCTATGAACAGATCCGCACCAGCCTCCAGGATGCGGCCAACGGGCTGCGCGAGCAGGCGCTGGGCTGGGCCGCGCTGGCCGCCAGAGTGACAGCTCTGGAGCAGGCTGCAGGAGGTGGCCGGCAGGGCCCCGAGCGTCTGGAGTCCAGCCACGACACAATGGGGCTGGCACAGCAGCTCCAGCGCATAGGCTCCGACATAAAGCGGCTGGAGCAGTGCTGTGAGGCTTCCTGGGCCACTGCCCTCAACAGCTCCCTGGAGGATCTCCACGGAGCGCTTTCCACGACCCAGCGTGGCCTAGAGCAGCACCAAGAGCTTTTCCACAGCCTCTTTGGGAACTTCCAAGGACTTGTGGCAACCAACGTCAGCCTGGACCTGGGGAAACTGCAGGTCATGTTGAGCAGGAAAGGGAAGAAGCAGCAGAAAGGACTGGAAGTTCCCCGGAGGAGGGACAAGAAACAAGTAGAGCCTTTGGCCTATGCCCATTTCAGAGGGCCAGTGCTGGGTGCCCTGGGAGCAGAGCTCCATGAGGCAGGTGAGTTCCTGGCCCCCGGAGACTGGGCAAATCTAGGAGGACAGGGCTGTCTGCAAGCAGCTCTTCTGCCTCAGAGGAGGACTGGGGTGAAAGAGAACAGGATGGCAGTCATGACTACACGGGGCTTGGCCTTGCCTTTGACCCACTTTCCATTCAGGGTGAGGGACATCTTAAGTTCCCTGGAGTATAAAGAGGTACCAGTCACAAGAACCAGCCCTCAGTGAGCAGGCAGAGCCACTCCATGTAAACCTTTGAGGCTCATGTATACACAGCTGGCTGATGCCACTCTCTATAGAGCAGGGAGGGGAATGCCTCCTTTTCTTCTATGCCATACCTCAGATCTCTCTACCTCAGCTATTCATCAACCCCACTTCACCACCCCCCACCCCACTCATGTGTCTAACCAGTGTGTGGATGGGGCTGGTGTCACTTGCCATGGGCAGCATCTCATTAAGAGATGAATACAGCAAAAGACCTTGGGCCTTGAAAAGAGCTCATTCTGCTAACTGGCTAGTTGGGGGCTCCCTCTAAAACTCAACCCAAGCCACAGTCAGGTTAGCTCAAATGGGTGCAGAAGAAAGATAGATGGGAAGACCCATCTTTCTTCCCTGCACTAGATCTCCTGCAATGCCCTTCTTGGGCTTTGCCATGTTGAATCATCACAGCAGCTCAAGAATGCATCAACTGCCATCTTTCCTAAAACTGAGGCTCTGCCAGGGATAGTGTCCTATTGAAACAGCTAGTGAGAGGCACAGAGGAGCCCTGAACCCAGTCCAGCTGTCTCTAGGGTGCTGGCTCTTCCCCAGGGAAAGGCCTGCAATGGCTGGTCCCTGCAGGGCCCTAGGAACCTGGGCCTGGGAACCCAGTTCTGAGGCTGAAGTAATGTCAGCCAGCCTTCCCATTCCCCTTCTTGAGTATGGCCTTGGGAAGGGGATCACTAGTTTCTTCAAGTGACTCTCCTCTGACAGAAGCTGGCCTTGGGGCTATGGCCACCTCCTTGCCCAGACATGGGGCTAGATACAAGGCCACCATCTGGGCTATCTGTACCCTGAGTTAGCCTGGCATGTGGGACATCGTTACCGAAGGTCCCACCCCAAGCCTGCTCTGCTCCCACTGACCCTCCATTATGGCCCCAAAGGCTGTGTCTCACTGGGGGCAGTGAACAGAGCACAGGCTCTAGCACCACTTGTCTCAGTTTCTGCCTCTGTAAAATGGAAGAATCACACCTATATCAAAGAGTTGTATGAAGATGAACAGATACATTTACCAAATGCCTAGCACAAGGCTTAACATTTAGTAGAAACCAGTTAATGTTTTCCTGTTTCCCCAGCATTCTCAGGGTTAACTCTTCCATCGTTTTCCCACTTGTGAGTGCAAGGCCTCAACTGCTGATAGTTTAGGAATTTCAATTTACCACTACAATAATTTGTTATTTGAAAAGAATTTTTTCCCCTTAGAATTAAAAATTCCCCCTTATTTGTCTTGCAGGAAGGAAAGCCACAGGGCTTGAATTTGCCTACTAGCAAATCAGGAAGCATAACCCTCCCTCCTTCTGAGGACAGTTAGGCCCACTGGCTAGTTGGCCTAAAACTCAACCCCAAGCCACAGTCAGATTGGCTCGAATGGGTGCAAGAGGGACCAAGCACCGGTAGAGGGCGTCTAGGCTGGCTTTCCTTCGGCTGGCAGAACGCCCCACCTCCTGGGTGCTGCGGGAACTGCAGGGCCAGCAGTAGGCCTTCGATGTGACACAATCTTACATAAATGAGAAAGTTTTCTGAACTCTAATTCTCAGAAAATCTTCTAGAACTAGAAAGGAACAAAATTTTATCATTCACAAGGCTATTGCTGGGCCTGAAGCCAAATTACTAAGACTCTAGTTCTGAGACCTAAATCACTAACTACTATGCAGATTTTCCTCTTTTAGGTAGGCCTTGGTTTCATCCCTGAGGAATGGGGAGTTTGGTCTTAACAGAGAGACAGAGAAAGAGGGAAGGAGAGAGAGAAGAGGGAAAGCAGCAGAGAGAGAGAGGGAA